AACCGCTCTCATTAGTGGCTGAGGAGGTGAAAAAAACGCAAAACTCTTGCACAAATCCGAACAGCCAAGCATAGATTCCGGTGGTTGTATTGACTTTTCTTCTCTTATTGTGTTCAGGATTCTGCTGATCTGCGAAAGATTGGTGCTGAGTCGGTTCTAGCACGTATTACAGAACTCGTGAAAGATACTCTCGCTACCGATGAATCATGCGGTGCTTCTCCTTTGTCCTCAGACGACGTGCTTAGTGCCATCGACCGTGGCAAATCAGAAGGCGGTCCCAAGGGCCGCCATTGGATCTTGGATCCTATAGGTGGCACCAGAGGGTGAGTAAAAAAAACTATCTGAGTTCACTTGTTGGGTCGCTAAAGCCGTAAAATAGCATGAAGACACCTTGTCACAACCTAATTCCTCGAATCTATTTTGTGTTTGTACTGCTTCTAGTCTGCTATATTTGGTGATTCTCTTTTCTCTGTTGAAGTTTGACATTCATTTAGTAGGCACCATAAATTATCTTCTTTCTTGCAAACCCATCTTCAAGCATAAATAGATTTATCTATGTTCATTTCGTTTTCCTTTACGATCTTGCAAATCTTGGATTGGGGTATCGCCACTCTTTGTCCGGTACTTACACCTTTTGGTCTCTTTTTCGGTGGTATTTGCGCTGGAATCTGCTATGATCCAAAAACCTACAACGTAGATTTATAAGAGGAGAGCAATATGCAGTGGGGTTGGCATTGCTTGTGGAAGGCAAAGTGGTGCTTGGTGTCATGGCCTGTCCAAGACTTCCTTTGGAATCCACGGCCTTTAACATACAGAAGTCCTCACCGGGCAAAGTCGGTTGTCTTTTCTTTGCCGCTATCGGTTCAGGGACCTATGCCCAATCGCTCAACGGTTTGTCTCCTCCCGAAAAGGTACTTGATCCCATTCCTCACCTTTCACTTGCATTTCTTGCCTTCAACTATATAGTAGTACGATTGTCGGGTTTATATGTTATATGATTCAAATCTCGGCCTTTATTTTGTGGAGCATGTAATGAAATGGATAAGCAAGTTGCTAAAATGAGTCAACCAACGGATATCAGGTGCAGGTAAGCAGTGTAGATGATCCCGAAAAAGCAACTTTCTTCGAGTCATATCACACACCAGTGCCCTTCCACAGCTCCATTGCTAAGGTATCTGCTGTATTCAATCTGCTCTCTTGCATCTCCCATGCCCTGAGTTTTTGGTCCTGAAATCTGCGATTTCGTGTCAGAAACTGGGGATCAAGGCATTTCCCATCAGGGTCAACAGCCAAACAAAGTACGCAGCTTTGTCACGAGGGGACGGAGAGGTGTATTTGAGGTTTACTCGGAAAGCAGAGTCGATATGGAACCATGCTGCCGGCTCGGTTGTCGTTTCAGGTACCGTTTATACTTCTCTCAATCGTCAAGAATCAATCAAAACCCTCTGCTCTTATGTAACCATACATGAATCTTGTACAGAAGCTGGAGGTATAGTCAGTGATGCAGAGGGGAACCCTCTCGACTTTTCGAAAGGGAAGTACCTCAGTTACAAAACCGGCATCATCGCCACCACGCAGAAGCTAATGCCGAGGCTTTTGAAAGCCGTCAGAGAATCTATGGAAGAGGAGAAATTTAATAATCTCTGAGATTTTTTCTCGCTAACCAGTATACAGTTTTCTGAGATTTCTGGTTCCATGATTTTTCACGTGGACGATATCGATAATGTATTTTCGATCGATCTAACTCCCCTCCATCCTCGGAATACGATGATGTCTCGGGCATAAAGATCTTCTGAATGTGATGTAGGTGTGCATTCAGATTTTATCATGAAGAAACTCATTGAAGTATCTGGCAAAGTCAGCTTCTTCAAAGATGATAAATATTATTTAAAACAAGTTTGGTCCATTTTTTTAAATTTGGTGGTTGGTTGATTACATTTGGTTCCTTTTTTTTTACAAATTTTTGTTTGTTTATTATCTTCTCATTACATCTATCTTTTTAAATAATTTTAAAAAGATTTATCAAATTTAAATATTTTTATTATTTTAAAATATATTAACTATTATTTTTTAATTATTTTTATTATATTTAATATTTTTTATTTTTATTTTTTTCGCGAACTCGAGTGACCTAGTTCGAGCCTTGAATTTCTCGGCCCGAATAAAAACAGACTTAACAAATTGGGTTGAAAATGAGCTGACTCGGAATAAATTGGTCCGATCTGGTTAGAGTCTGCTCGTTTGACATCGTGATTCACGTGCTAGATTCTCTCCCCTTGGTGAACTGACCATAATCTCTATCTTCAACTAGAGCATACGCTAGAGCTTTGTCTCGTGGTGATTCAGTATTCGGTTCAAGTTCAATACGGTTTTTTTTCGGTTCGGATTCAGTACGACTCTAAAAAAATGCTTATCATTTGGTTATTATATTTAGTTCAGATTGATTTCTGTTCAGTTTGGTTCGGTTTTTGTATTTTATTGAGAAACATTAATAATTTTTTGAGTTTTTTTTCGGGTTTTTAATGTTTGATTTCGAAAGATTCGAATTTCTAATAATATTACTATTCGAGATTTTTGGATATGTCGGTTAAAAAACATTATCAAAATTTTGGATTTGGTTCAAATCGATCTCAAAAAACTGAATCGAAACATCTAGTCCTTGTATTTGAAGTTCTTTGGGAATGAAAAACCTATATATGCCATGTAGGGGTGGTTATATTCAGGGTTTCATTCGATTGTTTCGATTTTAAAAAAATAAATTATAACGTTTCCATTATTATATTGAAGTATGTTCGCGTTCAATTTAAATCAGTTTCTATTGAGAAAAAATATGCATTTTTCAAAGAATTTTCCCACTTTTTCAATTATTTTTTTATTCGTTTCATTTTTCCATTTTGAAAAATTATAACCCTTCGATTTTTATATCGGATCAGTTTCGACAATAGATATATATGACATCGGATTCAGTTATTCGATCAAACCACATTGGTCACCCTTAATGGTAAGCTGATATGAAACTGTGCAAGAATTCGACAAAGCCGCCACCATTACACAACTGAGAAAAAAAAAAATCACATGTAGGAGTCGACAGATGGCTACTGTTCCCTTCAATTTTTATGAGTTCGAGTTCGAGTTTTACGTCAGAGTCCATAACTACAGAGGAACATCTGATGGGTAATCCAGTGGGCGACTCTTCACGATCTGCCTCAGTGACATTTCCTGTTCCTCGAGGTTCGACGAAGGAACATTATACACATCCTCGAACAGATGCTTCAATGGCGGTTTCTTGGTTTTCTCCGCCAGCTGAATCGCTTCCAATATCTGCTTTCCAAGAAAAAAAAAATAAGGAATCGGCAAAATCTGTGATTTTGGTTTATTATGAGGGCAATCAATGTCCTGATTCTCTGTTGTTGTCACCTGTTTCTTGACCTCTCTTCTGAGCTCTGTCTCGGCTTCTTCGCTCCACCATCCCTTACCTTCGATCCATTTCCGAAATATAGTCACGGGGCTTCGGCCTACGTTCCAAGACTCGATCTCGTCGGCCGACCGGTACCTGGTGGAATCATCCGACGTTGAATGGTGCCCCACCCGATACGTTAAGGCCTTCACCACGGGGAAAGAATCCCGGCTTATTTTCAGATTATGGACCGGCGTTATTATGTTTATATCCAAGAGAGAGAAAAAAAACGCAGTCGAGTCACCTCGATTAAGATTGGCCTCTGTTCCGTAATCGCCATTTCCCGGGCGGCATGAACTGCACTGTACATTGCAAGGGCATCGTTTCCATCTACGCGTATGCTTCGAACTCCATAAGCTCGGCCTTTCGCCACTACACCATCACCTGTCAGCAATTTCGAATCGAGAAAAATGTGAATTCATTTCGGTAAATCAAAAGGCAATGGTGAAGAGAAGAAGCAATTTAGAAAAAAGGAGTCAACTTCGAAACTGATCCGAGGTGGGAGTGCTGATTGCCCATCCATTGTTCCGACAGATAAACAGGACAGGAGATTCGGTTACCGCCGCAAAATTCAAAGCCCCGTGGAAATCTCCCTGGAAAACCGTTCATCGCCATGTGGTCAGCAAAGGGTATAAATCCAAATCCAAATCCTAAGCCGGAAGGGGCTCGAGAATATACGAAATGAATGGCATGATCCATGGTTAACTAGTTACATGGCGAAAGGAAGCCTTTCGTAAAACGAGAAAAAGACGAGTTAAAAACAAGATATTCTTTGTTTATTTCGATTTTGATTTTCGTTAATCACCTCGCTCGAGCCACCGTCGCCAAAGAATGTGACAGAACATGCATCCTTCTTGTCCATCTTTAAGGAATAAGCTGCACCAACTGCATGCGGTAACTGTGTACTGAAGGGTGAAAAAAAACATTTACCATAAGCACCAGAGATTCCGAAGAATCGGCAAAAGGAATGGAGCTGTAAAAGAATCGGCTTTCGGGCCATACGCTATCGTTGCCGAAACCGTAAAATAGTTAAGCCGGTTAGATCCATAATGTATCGGCATCTGCCTGCCTTTCCCATAATCAGCCTCGTTCCCGAAACACTGGTTTGCGAATTCTTGAAGCGTGAAACCGCGCCATAGCAGAACTCCGGGCTCCCTGTACTGCAGGCACAAGAAAAACAAAAGGCAACTAAACTGTTTCGGACATATACATATGCCAAAACCGCATGTATATACGGAAAAATACAAACAAACCTGAGGGAAGATAACATCATCAATGGCGAGAGCTGCAGCTGAGGCAATGTTAATGGCTTCTTCCCCGAGCGAAGTTGCGTAGAACGAAAGCCTTCCTTGTCTTTGAGCTTCGTAAAATACATTATCCATCATTCGGAGAGTAACCATATGACGGTATATCTTCACCGCCATTTCCTCGCCGACCTGAAGAAGACGATGGAGATTCCTCACTCAGATCTTGACAAAGGAAGAGATTGCTAAGCTTTTTTTTTTTTTTTTTTTGTGGTTACCTGCACAAACTGGCTATTGGGAATCTGTCCGCCATTTTCATCAAGAACTCGGTAACACGGTACTCGCTCTTTGCTGGATTCTGATATGAAACGCATCTCTGGCGTGAAAGGTACCTTCCCGCCTGGGAAATCCAAGGCCTGCCATTGAAGATTCATACATGTTATTGAGAAACATGAAGATAACGAGAAATTATGAAACTTAAATCCCTGGAAAGGATCAGTAACACTGTTATCGCACTCCATTCATATGATATGACCGATCCATTGTTTTCTTGTTAACAATTTCTTCCAATGAAGTTCTTCCTATTATCGCCCTAAAAGTCAGGTTATATAATTACACACTATAAAATCAACAAAAACATCAAACCATCCGACTGAAATTTCTGAATGTGGGATCAAAACACGAAGGTAGAAAACCCATTACACCGAATTTTGGTTATCATGCCCAAGATTCGGACACAGGAACGACGAGAATCAGGACGACGCACCTGAGTTTTCGCATCGTCGTCCCGACCAATGACTGGGAGCTTCTCCGACATGGTGGACGAGAACCGCCTAGAGAAACCGACAAGTGGGTATTCCAGAACCCGAACCGAAGGTGGGTTTCCTCGTAGATGGCGACCCAGACCGAACCAGGGTTTGAGCTTGCTCAAAATGGCCGATCTCGACGACCTCAAATGGAGAGCCATTGATCATGAATCGAGAGAGAGTCTCAGAGTGAGCGGAGAAATCTAAAGAGAGAGAGAGAGAGAGAGCTATGTTTTGATTTGGTCGATGGTCCCAGTGGACAAGCTTGCGAGTGATCATGTGAACTACGTTACGTTACTTATTCCCTCGTATGGATAATTATTGTATTTATGGAAGATTAATCAATTTATTTAGACATTAAATGTAATATAAAACCTGTAATCACAGAATAACTTATGATTCGTACATTTTGTTCAATCTCAGCAAAATATTAATATTTACATTAACACGTTTATGTACGGTGTTTAAATTTTGAAAAATATAATTAAAATATGATATCTCGTAAAAATCTCCTGAGAAAAATGGCGAGATTATTATACTAACGACGATAAATTATCAGAATCTAAAAGCCCTGTTGACCCTGAACATTTCCGAGATTCTCTCGTGTCTGCTTCGCTTTAATTCCTAAAAATTCTCTTATGGGCCTCCAGGCCCAATTCGTCTCTTATTGGGCCCAACCGAGTCTTGCAGAAACCAGACCATTGCTTCAACAAACAGTGTATTTACCACCAAGAACTGGTTAATGGTGGGGAAAAAAATGGATAGTTGTCTCCGGTTATGTGGCGTTTCTGGTCAGCCATTCTCATCTTCTGAACCCTGCAGAAGGGCACCACGACGTTTTCGGGTTCTGCAATAAACATATTCAAGTTCTGAGAACGGATTTTTACGCTGTAATTCACAATAAGACTGCGTTCCGAGAGAAAAACGGTATGTACCTCTGATGTGCAGGCACACGTTTAGTCGGTTTTGTTTCTCGAGCTGCAGACAAAATATGGAGGAAACAGAAATGGTGGAAGTTTATAGTATTTGCTTATAGAGATGATAATAGATGGGGGAGAGAATTTGGAGTCGAAAGACCAAATGTGGGTAATGATGAATTGGACAAACCAGGAGAGTCTTGGCTTTGCTTTGTTGTTGGACCCGAAATATCTTGTTTTTCTGTAGAGGGTCGGTCCAATTCGCTATGAGTAACTTCTTCCTTTCCCTGGTCAGATTACAAATGAGGTTTAAGCAGTAGATTTGCATACATTGCATATAGAATTCTTGAAATCTTTGTCCTAATAATGGCATTAAGGGATTTAACTCATGAAGATGAAATGTAATTTGGGGGTTTCACTATTAGCTTAGGTGTTTAGCATTAGAAAATGAGACACAAGAGCAAGAACTTCCGGGTAGAAGATACCTGATCACCAGAAGCAGCTGTAGACGATCTCGGATTTTCTGAAAGCACAACCAACAACAGTGGAGTCAACGCAAGAGGCTACAAATCAATCTCTTTCCAAAACCCATTTGAGTTTAAGAGAATAAACTCTCGGGTGTTTTTTTTTTGTAAAAGCTGTTATCCCAAATGGAACAAGGTGACTGAGCAAAACTCGAGCAAGGCAACAATGGAGTGACTTAACACCAGCTTTTCGATTCTTCGTTATCGCTAGCCTTAACGTTTTTTTCTACTTCCAGTCTCGAGTTTAATTTGCAAGAATAATGTAGTAACTTCATCGGAAACAGTTCTGTACCTTGTTGGAGCTGCATGATCTTGAACGCTCTGAAAACCTCAAGAGACAGATTTGCCATAGCCTCACAAGCAGAAGAACCCGCCATCTTTTTCAGAGGAATTACAATGCGGGGCATTCCTTTCGCCTTCTGGGAAACCAAGTGCGCAGTCTCACCACCTTAAAAGTATGCCGTCCAAACAAAAGACAACACAAAAATGAATACCATGCTCGAAATTGAAACTGTCCAGGGAAGAGACTTTGGTAATAACAAGCAATCAGGGGAAAAAAAGACAGAAAATTTCTACTCAAACACGAAATACCTGCAAGAACAAGCTTCACATTGTCGGATTTCAACGAAGCCACCATATAATCAACGAACTCAGACCACGAACCTCCGATACCAACAGTGTCTCTCTGCATCGAATTTGAAATGTAACAACTACGTGAGTGGAATAGGTTTCATGAAGACGGGAAATAAGCCATCACCCTTCATTATATCCCTTTGTCTCTCAGATTTTCTCAGCAGCCAAGCACCGAAAAGAAACAGAAAGCCGATTTTTCTCCAACTCTTTGTACCCAGTTGCTCCGAATTCCGATAATTCTCAGTAGCCAAACACCAATTCACTTTCTCATCAACCAAACACAAATCCAGTATCTAGACTAGAAAATTCGAACAATTTGACACAGAGACGGATATAAAAAGAGACAAAGAGGGAAAATGAACCATGTCGTCGAGCTCGGAGACGGAGAGGACGATCTCCCAGGAACTGGAGATGAAATCGGTGACATGAACAGTGAGGTGACAGGGATCGGAAGCGTAGACGTGGAACAGACACCGCCGGAGAAGATCCGAACCCGTACCCGATCGCTCCGGCACGGGTTCTCCGAATATGGGCTCGAAATTTTCGAAGCTTGCCATTAGAAATGAACATTGCCCGGTTTGACAATTTTGAGAGTCATCTCGAACCGATCACCGGTTGAGTAAGATAAATTTTTATGCGACTAAACGGTAAACCGTACCGGTTATACTCTTACCGAGAAAATTGATAGTTTCACACGCCGGCTTAGATCCACGAGATCCGGTTATGCATACTTGCATTTGCATATAAAATAACATACAAATGCAAATGCAAATATGGACCAACTCATTTAATAATACGCTTATATGGATTCCCTAATGTTACTAGAGAATTGGATTTGAACACATAGTTATCGTAAAATTGAATTTTTCTTTTGCTTGATATTAAAGTAAAGCTATTTGGACCAAATTAGCCGTAAATAATATATATATATATAATTCCCACTAAATTCAAGGCTTCTCCGTAGCTCACTCGCGTATCCACGCACGATCGCTCACTAAGCTAACTAAAATAATTCTGGAAAACAAATTAATTAATCGATTAATCAAATCTGGAGACTAATGACATATTTCTCCCTCGTATATATTATATATGCCTCTCCCTCTCTCTCCTATCACTTTCCCACCGTATCCCGTGCCATTTCGATCTTGCTCGAGAAATTGACGGAAAATGGCTCCGTAGCTGGAGATTCAGATTCCTCTTTCTCCTTTTCATTAGATCTGATCTCTGTTTATCGTCGGTATCTAAGGTACTCTGTGCGCTGTTCTTCTCACTCTTTTTTTTTTGTTTGGCGATGTATGTCTACGATTGTTCATTGGTGGAGAAAATCGTTTCTTCTACCAAATTTTGCTGCAGATCTGCTTTGGTTTTGTCTGCATGATGCATTTTTTTCCCTTTTGAGTTGGATTCTTCGTTTATCGTGGAACGTGAATTGTGTGTTTTGTTCGTGGCTGGAGAGCAAATCTGAAGTATGCTTATGAATTTCATGATGTCGTTGTTTCTACATTGGTTGGCTTCTGGTTTTGTGATTATTTTGAGTAGATCTGGTAATACTGGTTTTGATTTGTGTTGTGTTTTTAGTTGTAACAGAGCTTTGATGCTTTTTTTTCAGACAGATAAAAAGGTTCTCTTCTTTCTTCCCTTTTTTGTCTCCTGGGGATTGCAAAGGTTTTTCAGATGTTTCTCCACTATGCCTCTTGACGTGGAATTAATTGTTCCATGTTTTGCAGCTTTTGCTGTTTTTGATCGCTCTTCTTTTCAGCAAAAATTCAATTCCGACAATTCCTGGCTTCCAATTCTGGCATATTTACTTCACTTTCTTTACCAAACTTAGATGAGATGCTGCTGATTTTGATTTGCATCTGGAAAATATTGCTAATAGATGAGATCATGGGTTCTGTTCTTTCTACTTTTGTCCACTAATTGATTTATCCGGAACTGCTCTAAGACATTTGGCGTCTTACCTCGTTTATGACATAAATCTTGTCTGTCGCATGACTTACATCTGTTTCATTATTCGTCCTATGTACAGGTTTCACTTTTCATAAGCTTTTGTATCTTTGTTCGGAAGTATGGCGCAAGGGAGGTATTCTAGGATAGATAACAGGAGGTCCTCATCGAGCTATTGCTCGACAGTGACTGTAGTTGTGTTTGTCGCTCTATGCTTGGTTGGGATCTGGATGATGACATCATCATCTGTTGGACCCGTTGAAAATGTTGATGAGGTTTCTCTGGAGAACAAAGACGGGATGAAGAAACAGCTGAACCCACCTACAGATGATGGAGGCAGCCAGGCGTATGAAGACAAGAATGGTGATTTACCCAATGATGACAAGAAAGGAGATGGTGATGATAGCTCGTCTGGAGATGGTGGCAAACAAGGAGACCAGGAAGAAAAGATTGAAGAGAAAAAAGAGGAGAAAACCAAAGAAGAATCTAGTTCAACTGATGGGTCAACCAGTGAGACCGAAGATGGAGATCGTAAAAACAGTGACTCTGAGTCAGAAACTGGAGATGGTGAAAGCGAATCAGATGACAAAAAGGATTCGAAAGGCGATTCGGATGAAAAGGAAAAGAAATCTGAATCCGGTGATAATGAGGATGATGACAGACAAAAGAAATCGGAATCTGATGACAGAGAGAAAAAATCCAGTGATGATGATTCACAATCAAAAACAGAGAAAGGTGACGAAGAAAACAAAACAGACAAGGAAGACACAGAAACCAAATCCGACAAGGACTCTAGTGAATTTGATGATAAGGATGGTCATTCAGAGGAAAAGGTAGACCAAGAAAACAAAGAGTCAGAAACATCTGCCAAGGTGGAGCAGGAAAGTCAACCTAGAAACGACAGCTCAGGTGATCCTTCCCCTTCTGGCGCACAGTTGGAGCTCTTGAATGAAACTGTGGCACAGAATGGATCATTTTCAACTCAGGCAACAGAATCGAAAAATGAAAAAGAAGCTCAGCACGTTTCCTCTGACTACAGATGGACACTCTGCAATACAACTGCCGGTCCGGATTATATTCCTTGCCTGGACAATTTGCAAGCCATTAGAAGCCTTAGGTCTACTAAGCACTATGAGCATCGTGAGAGGCATTGCCCCGAAAACCAGCCTACCTGCCTTGTTCCTCTGCCTGAAGGATACCGGCGGCCAATTGAGTGGCCTAAAAGTCGCGAAAAGGTTTGCTGCATTTTCTGCGCTCATGCATTTATATCTTTTCCTCAGTTGATATTGATAACTAATAAAATATTTTTTTCCATGTAGATCTGGTATAACAACGTTCCTCATACCAAACTTGCTGAGGTTAAGGGGCATCAAAATTGGGTTAAAGTGACTGGTGAATATCTCACTTTCCCTGGTGGAGGAACCCAGTTCAAGCATGGCGCTCTTCATTACATCGATTTCATTCAGGAGGTAAGTGTTTCTGTTGTGATTCTTCAGCGTCATAATTGATCAAAATCCGACCTTACAGACCCATGTTTCATACTGAAATATTTGTGCTTGGATCTTCTTCAGTTGATGCCTCTGATGATGCTTTTTAGACTAAGACATGACATTAACCCTTTTTTTCTGGTTTGATCTTGAATTATCGTTTGAACTTACTTGCTTATCAAGTACCTTCTGGTGGCAATCTATTTTGCAGTCTGTCCCTGATATCGCGTGGGGTAAACGCTCTCGTGTTGTTCTGGACGTTGGATGTGGAGTTGCCAGCTTTGGAGGATTCCTTTTCGATAGAGACGTGATAACAATGTCTCTCGCTCCTAAAGATGAACATGAAGCCCAAGTTCAATTTGCACTTGAGAGAGGCATCCCTGCCATTTCTGCTGTGATGGGCACCCAAAGGCTACCATTCCCCGGCAGAGTTTTCGACATAGTTCATTGTGCTCGTTGTAGAGTGCCATGGCACATAGAAGGTGATTTGGAATACCGCCGTTGATGTAGTCGATCGAGAATTTTGAATCAATCTTGCAGTTAATCTTATTTTTTTAATCGGTTTGCTTATAATAATACATTGGCAGGTGGTAAATTACTTCTGGAGCTTAACCGACTGCTGAGACCTGGCGGTTTCTTTGTGTGGTCTGCTACTCCTGTTTATCAGAAGAAGCCTGAGGACGTCGGAATTTGGAAAGGTTATACAATGTTGTCAACTGTTCGACTTTTTTCTCCGTTTACTCCTCCTTTAGACACATCTCATTTTCATGTCGGCGTTGACTGCAGCTATGAGTGAACTAACTAAGAAGATGTGCTGGGAACTCATATCCATTAACAAGGACACTGTCAATGGAGTAGGTGTGGCTACATACAGGAAGCCTACTTCAAATGAATGCTATGCAAACAGAGCAGAACAGGAACCTCCTGTTTGCAGTCAGTCCGATGATCCAAACGCTGCCTGGTAAAAATTCATTATTCTGTTTTTCGGATTAATTTCATCTGATATATATACATTTCTCCTCGGAATTCGTTAAACAAAATCCCATCTGCAATGGGTTTTTTTGCAGGAAAGTGCCACTTGAGGCATGCATGCACAAGGTGCCAGAAGACAAAGCAGAAAGGGGTTCTCAGTGGCCGGAGCAATGGCCAGCGAGGGTGGAGAAGCCGCCATTCTGGCTGTCGAGCTCCCAGACTGGAGTTTACGGAAAAGCAGCTCCAGAGGATTTCACCTCTGATTACGAGCACTGGAAACGTGTCGTGACAAAGTCGTACCTTAAAGGGTTGGGAATCAACTGGGCTAACGTTAGGAATGTCATGGACATGAGAGCTGTCTACGGAGGGTGAGTTAAATTTCCCGATGTCGACGTTTCCTCGTCTTTTTTCCTCAGTCGTGAATTGGAATGATTCCATGCTGCTGCCGCTTCTTTGCAGATTCGCGGCAGCTCTGAGAGAGTTGAACGTGTGGGTCATGAACGTGGTTCCAATAGATTCTCCAGACACACTCTCCATAATATACGAACGAGGTCTCTTCGGTATTTACCACGACTGGTGCGAATCCTTCAGCACTTACCCGAGATCATACGACCTCCTCCACGCTGACCATCTCTTCTCCAAGCTCAAACAGAGGTTCGTATCCCCCATCTTCTGTGTCTCTCGATAGGGATCAAATATCCGGTTATTGTTTTTGTTTACTCAAACGGTCAAACCCAAACCTGAACTTTTCGGGTTTTACGATATATTACCCAATCTCGGATCTGTTTTGGTCGGGTACCCAAAAATTGGGTATCCGAGATAATTCTGAATACCCGTGGTCGTGGATATCCTAATTGAGTTTTAATGCAAAATTTCGATTGCTTTTCTAGATATATATTATTAAGAATTGATACGGGTTGGGTACCCAAAAGTTCAAGAGATTTTCAGTATGTATGTACATTACATATCTCTAAAATTTAGAGGTAAAAATGTCATGTTACTGTTCATTTGGGTACCCGATTTGAAAACCGAACCTGAACCCGGTTTTCGGATTAATCTCACATTATAACCCTATATATATAACGTGGGATATCCGAAATTCGTTTTTTTTTTCTCAGTCCTGTCTCCCGAGCTCTCCACATATACCAAACACTAATTAACGTGGATCCGTGCTCTTTTCTTAAAACACAGATGCAATGTGACGGCGGTGGTGGCGGAGGTAGATAGGATGCTGAGGCCAGAAGGGAAACTGATAGTGAGGGACGATGCGGAGACAATCCAAGAGCTGGAGTCTATGGTCAAGTCTATGAAATGGGAGGTTCGGATGACATTCTCCAAGGACAAGGAAGGCCTTCTCTCCGTTCACAAGTCCACCTGGCGACCCACCCAGGTTGAAACCCTCACCTACGCCATTGCTTGAACCATCTTTTATTATTATTATTATTATTATTACCACTTCAAGTACACGCTCTCTTGTTACCACCTGCCTCGTCGCTTAGGAAATCGATGTTTTTTTGTACGGTCTCTCTTGCCTTTCGTTCTCTCCTGAGTTGAGTCAACTGTTTTGTTGTATTATGTCGTCCACTTTTTTTGTCTTGTCTAGTTCTATGGTTGCTTAGATTATATTATATAGTGAAATGTATCATTCTTGGATTTTTTTTTATTATTATTATTTGGTGAATAGGTGAGCTCTCTTTTGCCATTTCAATGGTTACGAATCAAATTCTGGAACTTTTGTAAATTTACCACAATTCACTTTATTCTCGAAACCCCGAACAGTCACGGTTCTTTTTTCATGAGGAGAAAAAAAAAATTGGAACTTTTATGGTATTGTTTTTTTTGGAGCAGCGGCTATGGCTGATATGATCTCATCAACCATCTCGTTCGTCGCTTTCTGATTAGTGAATTTGATATTTCATATATATATAAAATGATAATAAACATAATATATATATATATATATATAACACAGTCTTCTCAATACATCTTTTTCGTTCAGCTACCACCTAGTGTATGGGAGGACAAAACATAACACCTACCCTTTGTCCCGATTTCGATTTGGTAGGGACTCGGGATCAAAGTTTTTGACCTTTTTGTCTCCGCAACTATCAAACCTCTTCTGCAATAAAAACAACAACAAAATAATCATTCTGTACATAAGTATCCTCTTCGATTACGTAGGTACGTGCTTTTCTCACGCGTTCATCTTTTCCGGTGTGGCCCGACATGGCTTCTTCGTCTCGTGAGAACTCGGATCCCCAGATTCTTTCCCCTTGGAAGGGCCGAGTGAATAAGTTGCACTCCGATCTGCCCTTGGAAGGGCCGAGTGAGTCGGCGTGAGTTAACATATCATTCTTTCTAACTGGATTCCTTAAGGGCCGAGAATGTTTAATTGAATCTCAATCACAGTATTCCATTCAAGACCCTTTGATAGTAATCATACTGGCGAGTTCGCCAAGCGTCTAAGCTGCTACTGATGAAAGAGAGCACCAAAGACACGCATTGCTGGCCGTCACAACAACAACAACAACAACAACAACAAATCGTAAATGGTATTAGCATTGGCATGTGATCCCTCAACTGTGTAATGTGAAGTGAGCGGCATTGGAGAATAAATGAGGAAGCTAGACTTACCTCCTCCGTTAACCTTAGAATGGTGCGTGGACCGCCTTTGAAAGGAAAGACATATCTAGTACATTTCTAAGAAATAACCAGTGTCCAAGGTTCTTGGTCTCTGTCATAATCATCATTCGGGTATATGGTATACAAATCGGTTTATTTATGATCCGATTCGATTAAATCAAATTTATATATGAATTGAGATCGGATCTAATAGACTGGCTCTGCTTATGTGACACCTCCTTTCTGATTTGTCTCGACCTATCACGCGTCATCTAGGACTAGTCAACACATTATTTTGGTCAATTAATAGTAAAAACGATTATAGAATTCGTACACAAACACAAGTTTAGTAATTACTGTATTCAAAAATACAAGTTCGAGAATAAATAAATGCATTTACAAGTTAATATTCTACCAAATTACAAATTCAGAAATTTTCAGGATTTTTTCAATTATTATTATTATTATTATTATTATTATTATTATTATTATTATTATTATTATTATTACTATCATGATTATTGATATTATTATTTCCATGTTCTATTAATTGCTCTGTTTTAATTTGATTATATTTTAGCTGAACCCTTAGTGGGAATTTTCGTTTGATTTTCCCCTCTCGTTCGTGGGAACATAAACGTGACTCGTCCACAACCGGCAGTAATCAATAATTACTAAGTGAACTGTTTTCCGAAATTTAAATAAAATAATGTTGACTGTTCATTATTTTTTCCTAGAAAATTAGAGATATTTAATGAACGTGAAGACCGACCTAATTTATTCTTTAATCAAAATCTAGTTGCAAATTAGCAGTTGGATATCAAATGAATATATTGCCTTATTGGTCACTTCTCAAATTTTTTTCCCTTTTTTCATCTTCTTAGATTTTATACCCTAAATTTTAATCACCAACTTTAGGGTTAAAAGTTGATAAGATTAAGATTTAAAATTTAGATTTTAGCTTTTACATAAATGTAAAATAATAGAATGAGAAAATAAAAAATACATTCCTAACTATTTTTTAGTTTAACAAATAGAAACAATCTATCAATAATTAAAAAAAAATTCAGTCATTGAAAAGCAAACCATTCCATCTGGATCATCAACTAGAGTTTAAACCCGAAATGTTCTAAATATTGCCAAATATTATACCAAATATTAAAAACAAAAAGAGTTCACTCACTGAAACCGAGTTTTATAGAAACAGCAACATAAGCAGCAAACTCCACAACACATGGGAAAACTGCTCTAACCCTTACCGTTAGAAAGACATCGGTCTATATAAAACTGGTAAGGCCCGCTTTTAGACAGGAGAGAACCATAGAACCAATACACCACTGACTACTGATGCCACCCACACCGAGACCGAGACCGGAACCAAGGACGAAGCATAGCTCCCTTGAGATGGGGTCGGGGCCAGACCGTTGGCTCCTGCTGCTTCTGGCCCAGCCGCCGGGGCTAGACCTGAAATCGCCGGTTCACACATAAATACATAGCCATTCAAGAAAACCGGTTCTTGCAAAGAGGGATATTTAATATATAATAGAAAACTTTTTCAGGAAAGAAATGTTTCTATAGGAAAGAAATGAATCATGCATGTTTCATTCTACAAAACCTATGGCAATATCACGTTTTTAATAACGGTCCCATGCGAGAACAAGACAAGGATTAGCATACACCATGATCATGTACCACCCACATCATGTGACCTGTTACCACATCATGCGATCAAACCTTTATTTCAGAATTTTCGACAAACTCATTGGTTAAAGGACTTTCACCCGATGCAGAATGAGCAAGCTTTTTGGCCTAACAAGAATGGCAAGATCACAACATATGGAAATGATCAAGATTATTGACTACATTTCGAATCGGATTATGAAAGTACCCAGATTTTCCTTGGAAATATGGTCCAACATTTCAAAACAATCTCCAAATTTAATCTTTTGGAAGTGATTTAAAAGATTGCAGAACAAACACAGGAACGAACCAAACAATTCAACTCACAGGTGGCAGAATAACTGAAGTGAAAGAGAAACTAAAAAAGAAATGCAGGCATAGCAACTAACCTTCCTTTCAAGAGTTGCAAGGAAAGAGCCAAACCTGGGGCGGTGGCAGGAGGAGCAGACACTGCAATAGGAGACAAAGACAGGCTTTATTAGTCAACAAAACACATAATAATCCGAACTTAACGATAAAGATGTTTTCGAGTCCTAAATCCGCTTCCAAAAAATAATTATAAGGCATGAAAGAGTAAGAAGAAGCAAAGTTCCTAAATTATGTATCAGAAATTCAAAAAAAAAAATCACCATAGATGTAATTCATGTTCAGGAAAGGACGATTATAATCCAGTGGAAGACAGAATCTCAAACTCAGCACAAGTTTCTTTTTCTCGCCAGGAACATAAATCTAACAAAGATTAACACAAAAATCAAGAGTCAGGAAACCAAATAAAAATATCCCTAAATGCTATTCAAATCTTTTGCAAATCAAGTCAACAGGTAAAAGGAGAACGCGATGCCAAACATGAAGAAATGGGGATCTGATAAAATCAACTAAAAACCCCAGAGAATCAGGGATCTACACCGGGAAAAGATCCAAAAACAGAGAGGAGAGAGAGATCGAAGATTCTTACATCCGCAGTTAGAGATGGAAGGAGCGCGAAGCTTGCATGCGGCGGGAAGAGTGAGTGCCTTAGTGACGTTCAACGTAACGCCGAGAGAAGCGCTGCTCTTGAAGGCCTCGCAGAGACACTCGGCGTCGGTCTTAAGCACCGTCTTCAGACCGGCGCAGCACGATCCTTCCGGCTTAGCCGTCGAGCTTCCGCTCGAGACGAACGTTAGACAGTCCGCCATGTTCACTATCAGCGTCGAGCAGTCGGCCGCCGGCGCCGGCGCCGCGTGCTGGTGCGACGCGCCGCAGACGGAGGAGGCGGAGATGGAGAGGAGGATAATGACGACGAGGGAGATCCAGACGGCCGAAGATCTGACGGCAGCCATTGTTGCTTCACTTTTCTTCTTCTACAGGTCTCTGCTTAGAGAGAGAGTGGAAACTGTTGATGGAGGAGAGAGCAAGGGCGTACATGAATGAATGTATGTATGTATATATGCATGTATGTATTGGTCGGTGCGCGGGCCGAAAATGTTGTCGTTTTGCACACGTGTCAAGCGTTTCGTGTGGATTCCTGATCGTGGATGCCGACTTGGCCCTTCCGTCTTCCCTGGTTTGAAATTCTTTTGACTACATTTATTTTATTTTTCCATTAAACGATTTTCTTTTTAATTTTTTTTGGCAACAAAATTCTCTATTTCATCTAAATCTTTTTATCATAAAATTATAAAAATATTCAACTGCAGTAGATATACATATATATATATATATATGCCAATCTTGGATATTACATACCAATATCAGGTATATTAATATTTTAAAAGTATATGCTAGAACATTAAAATGACAAAAGATATTATAAATGTTTTTTAGATTTCAACTCCAAACTCCTAAAATATTCTCCACTTATAAAGGAATATTTTTCTGGTTGGGAAATCCATTAAATTGTAGCACATCAATCATCCCTTTTACTATTTATATATGCGAATATATGTTATTAAGCAATTCTAAATTCCGGAATATTGTTCTTTTTAATTCAACGGAACTTGTGTTTCACCATGTGGCTTTATAACTCAATTATATCATTTAAATTATTTTTATAACTATATTCACCAAAAACAATTGGGTACAGGTAAAGTTTTTGGGCCATAAAGCCCAATAAGGAGTGAACCCAATAAAGTTAAACAAACGCATGAAATCACCCCATATCTTCCAGAGATTTTCACATTTGCCCCATAAGAAACAAAGCTTGTCAGCTGACCCTATTATGGACACAGGCTTCATCTCCTGTTTTTCTGTCGCCCCGAGAATCTAGCCCAAAACTTCCTCTGTCGCGATTCAGAGTCATTTCCATGGACTTCTCCGTCAAAACTTCCGGCGACTCTCCTTCTCCGTCGTTCTCCACCTCTTCATCAACTCCCCACCGCTTCCTGTCCGCCGCTACTTCCGCCGCCACCTCCGCCGGCGACCGCGATCTGATGCATTCGTGGTGGGAGTCTGTCTCCAAGCAGCGCTCTCACATTCTCTCTCTGTCCTCCCTCCTCTCGGTGGTGGTGGATACGGAAGACGGAGATGGAACTCCGATCTCCTCCCTGGCGGATTCCGATCAGCCGGCGGTTTCTCTCCTCTCGTCTCCGGCGGCGTACTCGTTGATCTCCTCCGTTATCAGCAATCCGACCTCCGGCTCAGGATCCGACCCGCTCTGTCAGTGGCTATATGAAAACCTCCCTCCCCTCCGATCCGCCGCTTCGCCTCGTCGTCCTCTCGTTCCTCCCGTTGCTTGCCGGAGTCTACCTCTCTCGCATCCACTCCTCCGATTCGTCGGCTCTTCCTTCCCTCGCCGGCTTCGAGGCCGTACTTCTCGCCGTCTACGCCGCCGAGGCCAAAGCGCGCGCCGGGAAGCCCATCCTCGTGCAAATCCCGGATCTCTCTGAGCCGTCTCTCTACCACACTCCGCGCGGCGGCGCAGACAACTCGCGCGGGTCCATTACTGCCGCATCCGTCGGTCTCTTGTCTCCGCCGCTCGAGCAGCAGATGGCCATCAAGTCAACCAAGCGTGCGGGTATCGTCGGTGTGGCACTACAATGCTACTTCAAGGTGATCTCGGAGATGCCGGCTTGGTCTAAGATCGAGTTCTGTAGGCTTGCTGCCAGTTGGGCTGGCCAGGCCTGCCATTGCAAGGAAAAAATCGACGGTGATGAACCCCAAACCCTAGCTCTAACGAACGGCATCGCTGATTCCTCCTTCCATAGCAGTAACAGACACATTGTTGAGTTTGGTAGATTAGCCATTAGAGAGAACGGAGAGGACCTGAGCTCTGAGGTTGGAGGAGTGAGAATTCCGCTTCCATGGGAGCTTCTTCAACCTAGTCTACGCATTCTGGGTCACTGCTTGCTCAGTCCTTGGAGTTCCCAAGACGTCAAAGACGCAGCCTCCAATACAGTGAGATCTCTATACGCAAGAGCCTCTCACGACTTGAACCCGCAGTCAATCCTGGCGACCCGGAGTCTGGTTAACCTTGACAAGATCTCACGAGCTGCTGCCAAGGCCGATGCAGTTGCGGCCGAATCAGCTGCTAATGGCTCGTCAAATGCCAACACTCCTACCAGGGGGGAGAACCCCGACATCCTTCTGGCTTCAAAGTGAGTGTTTCTCTATGTTTTGTAGGTAAAGTTTGGTGCTTTGATGCGCAGATAATGTAGAACATCTGTGGATTAACTGATGGGATTTCTTTGTAAGTAGTGAGCGTGAAATGTCAAGATTTTGTTTATCAATTTGATTCTTGGATGGGCTTTTTAGTGTTGTATGATCTGAAACTGAGAAGCCATTCCTAATAGCATTTCGATTCTTTGAATCAGCTCCTTTCTGTGTCTCGATTGCTTGTTGTTAAACCATGGCCAGTTTCAGTCATAGCTCCGAGTTATGATCGATGCTTTTGTAAGGATGATGCATTCTGTCTGTATCCTCATTACGAGCACATGATATATATTATAATATTACCAACACCAAATGCCAGACAGAGCCTTTGCTCATCTATTTCTGTTCTTTTATTGTGAGATGCCTGAATCGATTTTTTGGCCATTTTTTTTATGTATTTGACAAATTATGATAAACAATATACGCATATATATATATATATATGTGTGTGTATGTATATGTGTACAGCCTTTTTCATGATGTGATGAATTTTGCAATCGGTGAAACTCTTGAAGACTGGGACGAAAAGCCCGATAGGTGGTGAAACCTCTCGACTGAAAAGCCCGAAACTTTCTTATTTTCCAAGTCCAAAAGATTTTCATTATGACCCCGAAAGTTTAGAAACGTTTCAGAAATGCCCCACAAAAACCAATTGATCCGAGGATCAGATTTTGCGTATTTGCAGTTACATTACACCACATGCATGCATTTGTGTTTTTACATTAAAGTATGAAAGCAAATATGCGTGGATGAGAAAAATATATAATTGAATAGGGGTCTTAAACGGGTTCGCCCGAACTCGCATTCCGTCCGAGTTTCGGATTTGGGTCCGTATCGACCCGAATTTTTTGGATCTATAGAACCAAGTTCGGTCCTATAAAATTTAGGTTTAGAACCGGATCGGACTGATCCATTTGATTCCTTGGTTGTGTGCATCTTTTACAATTTTTTTTTGCATTCATTTTTTTAATATAAAAGTTAAATCTGATTTTCGGATCGGTCGAAAATTCGATTTGAATCCCACCTAAAAATCTAAATTTCTTTAGATTTGTTTGTGTTTGTCACGGGCTTTGTTCCTTGTTCCAAGTGGCCGAGTGGCTTCGTAAAATATAAAGAAGGGTAAATGACGTATTTTATTTTTCAAACGTAGATTCATATTTCCATGGTGAACCGAGCTAATGAGCAATTGTTAAATTGCCATTTTTAATATTTTGTATATAAACTATATTTATAAGATACTATATGAAAAATGAAATTTGTAAAACAAAAAACTATTAAATTACTTGCAAACTTACATAAAACCACCCAAGTTTGGTGGTTTAGTGGTGAGAGAACATGTAAATCATACTTTCATCCTGGTTCAAATCCAAGCGTGGAGAGGGACATTCATCTAGATTTCTCCGATCCTCTGGGAGATGTAGTCGGACCAAAAACCCGGTGAACTTCCGAATTATCAAAAAAAAAAAACTTACATAAAACCTCTGTCATATTGAATTGGCATGCCCATGGACGCACTACGTAACTATCTAAACTTGTTTATTTGTCCGAGAGTCTTCTTAGATGTTGTCGCTGCGGATTTTTTATTTATAAAAAACAAAATACAAGTCATCGATATACCACTAAAAACTATTCAATATTTTCAACTTACGATTGATTATGCCGGCAAATAGCATATATTATATATATAATCTTATACTTATGAGTTGGAATTACAAGGTTTAGTCAACAATTAATAGTTGAAAAATGAAAATTTCCTTTTGTTTATAATCTTCTAAAATCTATTTTTCTAGTACAAAATTTTAAAAAATATTAGTGAAAAATATAAAATGACCTTAAAACTAAATTCTCAATATTTAAAACTTAAAACGAAAGAAAAAATAATTAATACCTATTTCACCAAGATGTTAAAAACAACAGCTAGCTTAGAAATTATAGATTAAAAAGAATTTATTTTTTTACAAAAATATTCTTAGAAATAATTTTACTGAAATTTATAAAATTAACAGGGAAAGTCATGCATAATAAATTATTGGTTGAGGTGATTATTGAGCTGATTCATATAATACATGAATTCACATTATCTAAACCGATTTCTCTGTGGATTAGCTCAAAAGTTCAACCGTGTTTCGGTTTAGTCCAAACCGACTTTAAACCGAAACCCTTTTTCCAACAAACTTGCCCTACTTCTGAGTCCAAACCTGAATTCTGATTGAATAGAAGCAATGTGTGTAAATGGAGCCACTCACTCAATAGAAGGAATGGCCATAACATTCAAATTACCAGAGTGTTATTTTTCGACATTATAACAGAAGATCTTACAGAGATGTTCCCTGAACTGAACGAACCTCCCCCGATCTAAAACGCTTAAGCAGCTCCTCCATCTGCATTGCGAGAAAATTGGGTCATTCTCCTTTCTCTATAAACACATAAAGAGTGATGAAGATGATGACAAAGGAGGAGGAATATGTTTTACCTTCGCCCTCAGAGGGAGCACATGGGGATTTCCGGTAGCGTGTTTGTTGCTGTGTGGGCTGCGAAAAGGGGCGAGGAGAGTTTCTTTTACATACCGAAATTGAAAATCGAACAAACCATATGGCTTATAATAGATAGTAGTAGTACATCGATAAAGCCCATATAAATGCTCAGCAATGTTCGTGAAAAGTGGATTCCTTTTTTTACATTGTTCTTTTTTCAATGTAGCACGATCAGCATGCTTCCCTACTCTCCAAGCCTTTCCTCTGAAACATCAATTCCTATCCCTCCTAAATCATCCTTCCATCAATTAAACAATTATGGTGCATATATAGGGATCCCAAGTCCCAACATATGACCAATGCTTCCCTCTGCAGAATAGATACTATCTTCAACCGAAAACAGGAAAAGATCAACTTCGACCAGAGCCATTCACCACAGAATGTTCAAGCCCGTACCTGTAACTTTGGGCGAAGAGCTTCAAGGGGTCCTTTCGGCTTCGCACCACCTTGCTGTTAAGCAATTAAACACCATAGTGCATTAGACATTTCATCTGATAACGAAAAGCTCAGAAAATTTGAGAGAGCAAAGAATGATAAAAACCTTTCCAAGAGCCCAATCAGCAGAATCAAAGTAAGCTCGCTCATGGTCCTGATAAGAAGGCTCAAAAAGATTAATCAATCCTGTATGACATTCAACACTCTTTAGATCCTAAGAGCAATTAGCTACCTTGGAAATCAGCGGTGGCCTCTTTGGCTTGATTCCTCCATACTTTGGGTTTATAGTTGCTTCCTATATAAAGCATTAAAAATATTTCTCTCATAATAAAGCTTCCATGGGGAAAAAATAGTGAAAATCTGGCTTCATATGAAGTTTGAGAATTAAAACAAAATGGTGAAAGAAATGGGTCATGGACAACCTGCTCCTGAGACGGTGGCATGGATTTCTCAGCCTCACCGGTGGCATTTCCTTCCACTTTCTGTTCTTTGTGTTCCTCTGTGCCAGACATTATGATGTCCTGCGCGGCTCAATCCAAATTCTGCACACACATGTTATGTATTACTGAAATACTTAGTATCAACAGAGGACAGGCAATGAAAACAACTCGAGGTTTGATCAACTAACAGCATGATAGATCAGCAAAGGTGTTTGAACTTGGACAAACAATACTCCTAACCCACTGGCACCTGCATACTGCCCTGATCACTAGGATCCCGGTTTCATACAAGTCCCACCATCCCATAAACAATTATAACACCAGATCTCATACACAGTAGTCAGTCAAATCACAAGCTGACTAACGTTGAGAACAAGATATCTCTGACCAAGAGCACCGATAAGGAGGAGTTACTTATCATAGATAAAGAGTGCTGAAACTAAATCAAGCTTCAGTGGAGGCCGATTAAGACAAATAGCATAAGACAACGTCGGAATCAGCTGCATTTTCGAGGATAAGAACAACATGCGCGAGAAGAAGCATTAATTCATTCTCCAATCTGATGACCGGTTTCCAGGTTCAAAAGAAATTCAATCAACTTCAGGATTTTGCCAGGAACGGGATGAAAGACGGAGCGTCAGATGACGCAGATCCTCATAGAAATAAAATGTTTCCAAGATTTCACATCGAAACCCTAGAATCCGACTCAACAAAGGCACGAATCCACAGAACATACGGCGAAACAGATAACATTGAGACCGATAAGGAACCATCGCAATCGAAACCAGATAAAATGAAATCAAATCAGAAACCAGATTACAAGTGTTCACAGTGCAACAAAATCGATTCAAATCAAGAATCGGAATCAGAGATCAACGGGATCCGAGAGGCACGAAGAACGAAACGAAAACAATGAGGAGGAAGCGAAGGATGAGAAGATCGAGGATCTACGTACCAGGAGGAAGAGGAATATGCGCGTTTCTGCAAGCGACGTGGGTTAGGGTGGTGACAGAGAAGGAAGACGGATCGTGAAATGGATGTGGGGGAGAAGATGACGATGGTGATTGATGGGATCCGATTACAAAGAAGAACGCGGCGGGAGGGGCAGAGTCGTAATTATATAGTAAAACTGAGGGTGAACCCTTTTAACGGCACGTGATTAGATCCGTCGAGAAAACATTACCGTTGGCAATTATATGATGCGTCAGTGGTTACCCATGGTGTGGGGTCTCCACATCTTTCCCCATATCCGAAAGTTTAGAATATTTTATCTTCGAATTTAAACGGCAGAATCTATAACCATTTAGTTTTTATATCAATTTAATTTCAATTTAAATTTACAAAATACTTATCCATCAAATTTTTTATTATTTTTATTTAATTTCAATTTAAAAAAATCATAAATATGTAACTTTTATAACTAATTCAGTTCAATGTAATTCGTTTTACTATTCTGTTATGAACAAAAAAGATTACCCTATAATTAATAATTACCAATCTGTGATTCAGATATATCTGAACTCAAAATCCAAATATCGATTATTTAATATCACCGAGTCCCAATTCATCTCCAGAACTCACAAATAGTTGGCTTTTGGTCACCCTACGAATAGATCAGATCGAATATTTGAAAATCAGATACTTGTGCACCCATGACTAATTTCTACGACCAAATGGGCCTTTTGTATATCAGAAGGCAGTAGAGTAGGCACACCAAGTAATAAGATTCATCCTTCAAGAACATGTCTGAAAAATCTAGTCGACAAAGCAACACAGTAGATACCGAGACAAAACTCGCCCGCGACATGGCAGTCCGACGTGTGTAAAAGGGCCGAGAGACGAAACATCAGCGGAGTCTCCTGGCTTCTCTCTCGGACTCGAGGAGAGTCAGGACATCGCCCTCTCTGACGGGTCCTTTCACGTTCCTCATGATGTAACGGTCAGAGTCAGTGAACTTCACTCTGACCTGAGTGACCTGACCACGTGATCCAGTCCTTCCCATCACCTTCACCACCACTGCGTGCTTGATCTGAGAATCCATCCTATGTGTACATGAAACAAAGCTACATTCAATTCAACAGGATATTCATGTTGTTGTGCCCAAGGAATCTAAGATTCAAGGAATAAAGTAACTCACTGCTCAAACATAACCACGAAACCCTACTAACAGAACTAAATTTGGAGGTGTTTAATGTAAAATACAAGAATCAGAGCTTGCGGTCACACTAAGCTACAACAAGAAAAATGAGATCAAACACTATGGAAATCGTGAACTTATACAAAATATGCCATAGTACAGTTTGCGAGCCAGTCCACTAGATGAAACGAATCGAACTAAGGAACCAAAAGCAAATCGAGTACTGCAACCTAAGCCAAATTCACTGTAAGTGTCATCCTATAATCTGGGAATAGAAAACAAATCCACTTCAACACATCGCAATTTTCTGAAACAGATAGGAAATTCGATTTCTAAAACTCCCTAACTGCTGAAAAAGGAAACTCTCCGGATAGTAGACAAAATTCAGAGCGTGAACAGCGAATTCATAACTCAAACCACGATATTAAAGCCGAGAACGAAGCAACAAGATCCAGATGGAACAAGCAGAGGAGGATGAAAACAGGAAAAACCACTTGATTTAGCTGCAATGTTAGAGATAGAACAGCGAGCCAACCTGTGAACGATGACGGAGACGGCGAGAGCACTGCGAGCGTTGGCAACCCTGAAATAACAGGAAAACCCTAGCTAGACTTTGCGGATTTTCCAGCTAGTTATATATAGTCTCAATGGCCCAAACATGGATCTTACATGGGCATTTATATGGGCCTTACAAATAGGATTTATTTAAAGCCCATGGGCTTCGTTTTTTCAGTGCTATACGCTAGAGGTTGTTTCCCACAGAGCTGAACCTGTGCGCAGCCGAGTAGGAGGAGCAATCAGCGATGAGCTTGACGCTGATTCAAGGCTATTCCTCTGCGGAAGAAGAAGAAGCAGAAGAGAGAACTGTGGAGGACTATGAGAACTCCGACGAAGATTACGGCGACGATCCCTCCGCCGTCCGGAGGTACGGATCGTCTTCGGTCTTCGCTGCTTCCGCGACCCTCCCCGCCGGAGATTCGTCCCTTCCTTCCGCTGACGATGTTTTCTCTCAGGTCAGTCTCCTCGCTCTTCTCTCTCTCCGATTTGACCGAAATTCGAGAAAGGAAGCTTGTGGGATGTGATATATGCTCGGCGTTGTTGAAATTTGTTGGTGGATTAGTGTCATCCGGAGATGAATCAGGGTTTGGGATAGGAAGATCGTTCTGTATAAGAGAACCTGGAAATAGATCGGATTCTTTCCGTGGATTTTGCAGGTATCAGGACCACCGGCCTTTCTAAACAATTGTACGGATGCTGATGAAGAGGCTTCAGCAAGAGACGCGGAACATGCAAAGCGTCTTGGCCGCAAGAAGAAGAAGAAGGATATACCTAAAGGTAAGGGTACCCACAACTTTGAACGCATCTAATAGAAAGTTTCCATCTTTTGATGTCATTGGATCGTGAGGAGCTGATCATTTTCCACGGCTTTTTTCATCTGAGAGGGTGTTGGTTTCAACTGATTATTGGATATAGGTGCTGTTATGGAGGCCAAACCTCAGCTAGTTGGAATCCATGAAAGAGTCAGAAGCGATATAGATGGCAAGCCACCGTTGCAAAGCGGTGAAAAAAGAGCACATACTGCTACCAATCCAAATCTTGAAGAGGCTGCAGACCTGTTGAGGTACATATGTCAATTCTATCCATATTATTGTTAGGATACAAGTGCGGTCCTTAGTTCGAAAAAGCGCGCCTGGGGCGCGCCTAGGCGGTGGATGCGCAGATGCGAACCCAAAATTGCATCCTGAACCCTAGGCGATGCGATTTGCAGGAGGCGGCCAGAGGCGCGCCTCCGGCGTGCATCGGCCGGAGGCGGAGGCGTGCGCCTCTGGTAGTAAGGCGGTTAATGTAAAAAACTAGGTTTAGGTAGAAGACGAAGAGAGCAGAAGCGAGGGAAAGTGGGTGAGTGGGAGAGAGAGATGGATGATAGGCACGTGGGTGTGTGAATAAAAAATAGGTCTAGCCAGACATCTCACGAGGTGAGATTATATCAATTTTTTAATTAATTTATATATAAGATTTTAAATAAAATTAATTATTTTATTATCAATTATAAATTAAAATTAATAATAATACAGAACTAAATTTATATATATGTTAAAACCATAATTGAAAATTATTTTATTTTTATAAATAAATTATTAATTTCTTTATCAAAACAAATAATATTTATATATCACCCTAAAATTATTTTAATTTTTATTCATATTAGTCAAAATTTTAGATTATAATTTAATTATAATAAATATAAATTAATTACGTTGAATTAACATATAGTTGGTTCAAATAATTAAATAACAATTCTATTGTTAACTATGCATTCTATTATTTAATAATGCGCCTCTCGCACGAGAGGCGCGCGCCTCGCCTCGCGCCTCACGCCTCGGATTTTAAGACCCTTTACCGCTTCAGTGCGCCTCGCGCTTTTTACAACCAAGCTTATCTGTAGTTATATTGTATGGCGTTCTATTTGTTTTGTACTATAAAAGGGTATTGCAAAGTTGCCTTTTATTGAGGAGCATCGTCTTCTTGATGCAATTGCACAATTGGAGCACACATCGACGGTATGTTGCATCCATTTTTCTGCATTGCTTCTTCCGTTATGGAGTTTTATTCTGTAAAATCACAATGGAAGTTTGTTTTCTTTCGATTGTCTTTTCAGAAGGAAGAAATTAGGAGAAACAGATTTATTTGTGACATGATCTTTATGTCTGCATCTCATCCCCTGGCTGAGGTGATACGTACTCTGGAAAACAGATGCAAAACATTGGCAGGCAGAAGACGGCGTAAGATCACGGAAAAGATTGACCCTGAGTTAAGGTGTGCGTGTGAATTTTGAGAATAATATAATACAAATATGTTAACTGTGTTGTGCTGACTTGATTTTCCATATCTAGAGCTTCATATTGCTCCTCAGTTATTCCTGAAAATTAAGCAAATGCAAACAAAAGATGTTGAAGATATTAGGGAGTTTTTCCTGATCTAATTAGGGATGAATAAATGCAGTGACGGGCTGAATGGTTACTTAGCTCTATGTTCTGGAGAAAGCCAGTCGCCAAGTTTCAGCTCCCCAATCAAGGGAATGAAGGATATTTTAGCCAATGAAGTCATGTAAGCTTTTCGATAGAACATCTTGGATTATAGTGGAAATTATAATTTGCTTTAATTTTTGCATTCGAGTGGACTTGGAGCATATGCTTTTGGAATCTTACATTTGGTTATACTCTTCATCAGTTGTACTACATACAAACTTCCAGACCAGCACAAACACGTTGCTCGCCCACCAGCAGGAGTGGTGTTCCCAGAAAAGGTAGAGCCCCTTAACTTTGCCAATACTGATTTTATTAAGAGGGCCATTTGTTATATGTTCTTTTTGTTGCTTTGTGATAGGCTTATGCATCCATCTTTTTATCATCCAGAGTAGTGGGAGCAAAATAGATTCTAAATAACTATGATGCCTTTTTCGGCTTGTGTTAGTAGTTAACATTTTGAGTTCGGGTCCACATTGCTACCAATTCCAGATTCTTGAGTATGATGTGAATATGTTGGGTAGCGAGTGTATGATAATACAAGCATACTAGAACCAAAAACTGTCCTGTGAAGGTGATTTGTCTCGTTACTCATTAATATCAGTGTGTTGAATCCATTTACTTGCAGATGGTGAATGCATCGGATTTGGTATCTAAATCCGCCACGTGGCACGAAGATGTCGTACGAAGCAAAAGGTAAAGTTTGTTAAAGATTTTGATTCCGAGAATCTTTGAGGGCTTTCATTTAAAGTGACCGTTTTTTAATCTCTCCGACTTCACATTTTGTTGCAGGAATAACCCTCCCGGATCCATTTCCGGGGTTCAACTCAGGGAAGCAGCACTCAAACTCGTGCGACGTAGTATACAGCCAAGACCCAACCATACCGATGTCAACTCAGAAACGAACCCGTCAGCGTTACGCCCGACTTCCGTTTTCCAGAATGGTGGAGACTGGAAAAGGGTCCTACCGTTTCCGTGTCTACGACTGACCGCATAAGAATGGTAAAAAGCAACAGAAAAGGCAGAAAGGTAAAGCAGAACCAAAGATCAAGCAAACGAACGATAATTCTTCGCAAAGAAAAAGAATAGACACAGGATTCTGAACTAATGTCATGCCTTTCTGGTAGTTGTTATTTGTACCATAGTTTATGTTCGAGAAAATTTTGGTCACTAATCAATTCCTTTAGACGTCCTAGGAGATTTTGGTGAAACTCGATAGCTTATTTCGTGGTATCTGTATCATCGAGGCCTTTGTAGTGAGATTTGGGACATTGAATAAGTTTTCTTTCAGTTTACCGATGAACTAATCTGCCTTTTGGTGGGACCAGAGAGGATGAATAGACATGTATTTCATGTTGTAAAAAGATAGAGAAATGTACCAAGTATTTGCATAACACCAGATGGAATGTACTGTTTTGAGTGACAAGTGACGAGGATATGGGGAAGCACAGAACAGTCTATTCAAAATTACAGTTAATTGAAATCAGTTACCAAAATTGCCTTAAAACGGTAAGTTGTTGGGATGTCTCCAAGGTTTATAGGTTTGAGTTAAGAGTATGTATATCGACACCATTCTAAAACGGGTCCGAATGGAGAGTTCCAAAAAAAGAATTTTGCCGATGAGACTTGACAAGAGTCTCTCAATTTCCACATAAACAAGTTGAGCAAGACCAGATGGTCGGAACTCCCTATGCATCAACTACAATATCCACGAAAGCCACATTGGATGGTCATTAAGAATATTTTTAAGTACTTGCGAAAAATTAAATGTGTTCTTGGTATACAGTGATCTAAAAGAGATGGAAAGAAGAGGTAAGCATAAAACTGTTGGGAACGGCGATTATTGACGACGGTAGAACTCCGGTAATTCGAACGATTCCAGATAAATACCTGAAATAAAAGATTATTTTGTCGAGACTAGCTTGCTAGAGCTTGAAAAGATCAAATCTCTTGTGTATGGATCAAGAACACTCTCTTGAACTTGAGAGAGAGTTCTACAGAGTTCCCTAGCCTCTCGTATGGCTAAGGGTTGGGATTAGGTCGAGTGATAGGTTCCCCACCTGCTTCCCAACAAGAAAAAGGAGAGAAAACGCGAAGTTCGAATTTTTCAGTATCTTGGTCCGAGGCTGACCAAGAGTTCCCTTTAGGCTCCTCCGAATACGGTAGTAAACACGAGATCCAATCTCGCTTTACAAATCATAAACGGTCTCTAGCAAGACATTATGATTACCTGTATCGGAAAGAGTTAGATGTGATCTAACCGTAAAGCCAGAGATAGTTCTAACGATGATCCTCTTTGTCTCATGATATCATAA